AAATCTGTGCCTAAAGTGAAGTCCAAGACCATGTCACGACAGACGAAGAACTTATGATTGAAGACGACGTGACCTAGTTCTATGCCAAGCTCTACCACGCCTTCATGTCGTAAAGTAGTGTCATTTGCCGATTTCAGGCTCACTTTAGGCTTGATGCAATATTCCACCCTAGTCTGGAGCTGGTGAAAATCTTTCTGTCTAATTAAGGAGCAGCCGGCCCCCGAATCCACTAAGCATGACAACTTAGCGTTTCCTATAGAAGCACTTACAGCAGGGTAGTAGGGCATTAAGCTTATATTTGCACTAAGCATCTCGGACAAAAAAATGCACTTACTGGCATTCTCTTCTCACCTGTGGTGATCATATGAACGCCGAGAGTATACCGGGGGAGGGCGGGTCTGACGACCAAACGGTTAGTTCCAGTTCCCACGCCGAGTGTGGTTATAGGGCTATGTGGCGTTTTACGAAGTGTTCGTAGTGCCGGACCCACACTGCCTGCCCTCTCCTACGATTGGTGTTGGTCCGCGATTCCCTTTTCGCCAGACGCAAGTGAGCCTCTCTTGCACTCACACATTTTCGAAACAACGAGAGGTTACATGCATGTACCTAACAATCTGTGTCAGAGCAAGCTGCAGAAGCGGTGTTATTCCATCCTCTGCAAATGGCCAACGCCTTCGAAAACACGTGTCCTTAAAAAGGGTCCTTTTTACTGCTGTTCCAATTTTGGCTTATGCCAAGGACTTCCTGTGAGCCCTAGTGGTCGCTGTAGGTAGCAAGTACTCTCTTCGGTTCCAACTCCTTAATGGTATTGGTCTGATCGGGATCCGCTGGTTGACCAGCGCGCCAACATCTGACGGATGGTGAGGCGGCATTCGACGAAGACTGGCTGCGGAACAGGTAGGCTTGTGTAATAATAAGCAGTCGCGGGCCAGCAATGACAATGCTACCAGGGAGCAATGTCACTGTTACATGGCAACCGTGGACCACCATTAAATGAACGTACTTGCCATCGTTGCTTTGTGATGTGGACCCTGAGTCAAAGCGCTAGAGCAGCTTTTGGGGACTCACCTGTACTAAAGTCGTAAGAAACCATTAAAAATGTCCGACTCAGATGTTACGATCCATGCTACGACATTCACGGGAACCGGCGACTTTCGCAACCCTGGTCCAGAGGTACGGACGAATAGTATGCGAGTCGACCTATCCGATCGAGAACGGACTCTTCGTATTCCGTGCTCTAATCTAAAGTCTAATGTCGCACAGTCTCACGAGCACAGCGCGAATGTCTGCTGTTCATCTCGGGTCCGAATCCATGAATCTGGCACTCCGTAAACTAAGGTCCCAACTCCTACTTCACACTATCGCAGCGATACAACTCTTCTGTTAGGCACGGCATTTCGACCGTCCTCGTAACAGGAGACCTCCGACCTCGATGATCAACTAATCTCCTTTGCCGTGAAGTTTGATCGTCCTTTAGCCTACCCAGTGTCGCATGAAACTCTCTCTCTCTCTCTGTGTTTCAGGGAAGAATCCCCGTTGGGCAACTGGGACTGTGCATCAAAAGAACGCCCGGATGGGATGACAGTCTCGTTGAAGCCTACAGGTTGATGCGCTGGCTTCGTGAGACGACGGAGCAGGCTGGACTTGGGATCTCGTTCCTGATGTGTGAGGCTGGGCGATTCCTGTGTTTGTTTCCAAGAAGGGAAATAAGACGAAGCGTAAGAGAACTGCCGCGGCATGAGTCTCGCTGGCAACGCCACAAGTCTCTGTCATTATCATTCTCAAGACAATTTCAGAGTGTGTGTGACCCACGAACGAGACTCGACCATGCCCAGTCCGAAGTGGGAAGTGGCTGCACCGGTCATGTATTCACACTGTGGTGCATCCTGGAATGCAGCCGTGGCTACTCGAAGTCGAAAGCCGTCTGCTTTATGGCAGCGCCCGATTCCGTTCATCAAAAGTAGTTGTAGTGAATAATGCAGGTAGACGGTACACAGGCACAAATCGTCGCTATGATCGCGGTCCGCTATCAATCCAGCAGTGGGTCAGTTCCAGCCCACAACGATCTATCCCAGCCGTTTGATATTCGGTCCGGCGTTCGACGAAGTTGCGTCCTATCATTAATTCCGTTTACGTACGTTAATGAGTGGATGTTCAGAAGGGTCCTACGCGGTTTCGACGGTCTCGAATTTGTACCTGGACCCATGTTGACTAATTCAATCATTCTGACAACACAGGCCTGCTTGCGTCAAGTTATGATGGCCAACAAGTTGAAATGTCACGGGTGAATTAAGTCGCTAAATCGGTCGATTTATCGACCGACGCGCGAAAGACCAACGTTTTTAAGCTGCACCTCCAATCAGAGGAAGGCGCCTTTCGGAGTTCATGACTGTCAACTCGCGGAAGTAGGCAGTTTCAGATATATCGGGACGAAGTCGCCGTCTTGTGCACTGAGTAAGGATACCATTGTCTCCCGGATCGATGCTGTTCGTAGGGTTGCTTCAAGTATTTAAATGCATAACTGCGCCCGCCGGGAGGTCTCCATCTCCACAAACACCTAAGCGTGCCGCACATCTGTTCGGTCAGTTCTCCCACACAACCGCAAAAACTGGACTGCATGCGTAGAAGACGAGCGAAAACTGGCGGTATTTGAGCACCGTTGCCTGAGAGCCATGCGTCGAGTGGAGTGCACCGAATTCGTCTCGAATGAGAGTCCGCACTCGTCGCGACAATATCGTTAGGATATCGGAAGCCCTTCAGGGGAGACAACTGAGATGGTTTGGACACGTTCTTCGCCGTCCGCCCTAGAACCCGCTGTTGCTGCCCTCGATGTGGCACCACTGTTCACCTGGGAGCGTCTGATAGATCAGCTCAAAACCTTGACGCGTCCCATCAAGACATGTAGATAGTTCCTAGACTTTCAATATTCGGTCTCCGTCCCTGGAGGGGAGAATGAGTTGAGCTTTCCACGTCCGATTCCGTAGATTATCAGGCGTGCAGAGGTGTAATTCAAGGCAGCACACGATCAGGCATAATAGCCGTAACAAGTACATGAACACATGTTCCTTGTACGACGAAAGACATTTGCTGCCTGGTGATTCAGCGAAGATCACTCGGCCAGCTAGTTAAATCACAGTCCGGCCAGTTCAGGATTTTGCCTCTAGGGTATGGTGGCAAACAGGTGTGGCATGAAAATTGGCAACGCCACTATTCAAACCATGTTCTTGTTGGCGCACAGCTAATTCTATCATTCGCACCCAAGCGGCCACGTATCAGACGTCAGAATATTGTAAAACTGAGACAGCCTGACTTAACCAAGACTCGGAAAATGTAGAATAGATTCTGCTTCGAAGCCATAATCGAAGGAGAGGGCAACAATGGATGATTGTCACCGATGTTTTCAGTCCGCGAAGAAGCCGAAAGGGATATCAAGCCTATCTGGTGGCACCGCGATGACCGAATCCACTCAAGGATCTTAGCCGTTTGTCTAGGCGGAACGAGCTGGGTCCCCCAACAGTGATTTCCTCCGCCATTGAAGGCACATCGACCGCCTCAACTCCGACGACCGACCCGCTACTCCCTCTGCTATGTAGCATCAGGGACGCACTAACGTCTCAGCTCGAGAAAGTGAGTGAACAGCAGATGGGCGTGGTCGTACTTGACTTGGGCTCACTCATCCTTACGCTCGTCTTCGAACAGGATGAAATGCATGAGCCGCAGCATTCCCCCAACAATATTGATGCAAAGATCCGTGGGGGTCAAGGGTTACCAAGTCAGTTTAAACAACACAAGGAGTTGGTGCCAGATTAATTGAGGGCGTTCCAGTGTGCATGACTCGACCCGGCCAGACCCTGAGTCAGACGCCAACGCACTGACCAGACACCATGGCAGGTGCTCGAACACCGTTACGGTCACTAGCGATCGACAGCCATCTAATCTATTGACTCCTGCGGCGCTCTACCCCGTCCACCGTGAGTTTTCGCGGAGGATAATAGGTTCAGGCGGCACGTCAACGAGGCTGAACGCTGGGGTAGGGGTGCCCTATCGCATCAACACTGTCCGAGCCTTGATAGACGGCAAGTCTGGCCATCCGCCATTCGGTCCAGCTTTCAGTGGAGTTACATTCCGTCCTCCATCGGTTCCCTGGGAGTTCTAAGCGGTTCTGGCCGAATCCGCACGCAGACGGCGTCCAACCAACCCCAGCTGCTTATAACAGCACCCCGCAGTCGTCAAGCCATCACGGCCTGCACGAAGTGGGTCCAAGCTAGTCGGCTCATCCACCGATTCTGTGGATGTCAGTGTTGCAGGACCACTTTCGCGGCCAGAAGACACCCCTCTGGGATCATTGGTCGTCAACTGGTAGTACGGCGGGACGGATCAGTCGCTGGGCAACACAACCGCCCGAGGACCAAAAAAGCACCAGTACACCCGTGGCATCCTCACCGTTGCGAAGATCGCGCACACCTACCTCACCCATGACGAGTCCGCATTTTGCAGTAGCATTGCGAGGATATCTAAAGCTATCCAGGAGACAACTAAGGCGGTTCCTGGGCGCTTCTAGTCGTCAGCCCAGCCCTCGGTGTTGCCACCCTTTACCCAAAACTACTGTTTGACTGGAGAGGGCAGAGAACGGCCCCGAAACTGCTAGGCGCAGACCACACTTCCTTGAAACTAGAGCAACCTGAGAAGATGCAATCCGCGACACCATAAAACCCCACCGAGTCGGGTGTAAGCACATCAGCACCGAGCGCAAGCTACACTTTCGTGAATTATAATCCCAGCCGAAAACCAGACAACACATGAATTTCTCGCTTAAGGCCTGGAACCCGTACTAACAGAATGCCAAGACCTTCAATTAGAGGCAAGGTACACCACGAGACCAACGGTTGCCACGGACCCTCCTTTTCGACACTTTGTGGAACAAGTCGATTAGCAAGAAAGTGATTTATCTGTAAAGAGGTACAAAAATAGAGTATGAGGGTGGTATTTGGGTATACAAATTAGAAATCTGTAGCAGTTTCATTTGAGTCACCTTCAACCATTTCTTCATAATCTTTTTCAAGCATAGCCATATTTTCTCTTGCCTCGGAAAATTCTCCCTCTTCCATACCTTCGCCGACATACCAGTGGACAAAGGCACGCTTCGAAAACATTAAATCAAACTTGTGGTCGAGCCGGGTCCAGGCTTCGGCAATGGCTGTCGTATTACTCAGCATACATAGAGTACGCGGTACCTTGGCCAAGTCACCACCCGGGACAACAACGGGTGGTTGATTATTAATGCCAACTTTAAATCCAGTTGGACACCAGTCAACAAATTGAATATACTGTTTCATCTTTATGGCCGCAATTGCCGTGTTCACATCCTTAGGAACGACATCTCCGCGATAAAGCATGCAGCAAGCCATGTACTTTCCCTGCCTGGGATCGCACTTGACCATTTGGTTTCTCGGCTCGAAACAGGAGAATGTGATCTCGGAAACGTTCAGCGTTTCGTGGTAGGCCTTCTCCGCCGATATAATCGGCGAGAACGAAGTCAGAGGGAAATGAATGCGCGGATACGGCACCAAATTCGTCTGGAACTCGTTTAGATCGACATTGAGGGCTCCGTCAAAACGCAAAGAAGCTGTGACAGCGCTAACCACGGGAGCGATAAGGCGGTTCAGATTTGAGTAGCACGGTCGGTCAATACCAAGTCCGCGTCTAAAAGCAGATATTAATTAGGGTTAAAACAAACTTTGAGATGTAATATATCGCTTCGTTATCAACCAGAAACGTGCAGTCTGAATGATCCAGTGTACTGTGCGTTGTTAAGATTGAATTGTATGGTTCGACGACCGCTGTCGAGACTTGCGGAGCAGGATAGACAGCGAAGTCTAACTTCACTTTCTTCCGGAAATCAATTGCAAGTCGTTGCATCAGAAGGGCTGAAAAGCCAGAACCAGTACCGCCTCCGAAGGAATGGAAAATAAGAAACCCCTGAAGACTCGAACATTGTTCGGAGAGTTTCTGAACGCGATCAATGACGTTATCGATAATGCCACGACCCATTGTATAGTGGCCCCGCGCGTAGTTATTTGCAGCGTCTTCTTTGCCGCTTATCATTTGCTCCGGATGGAAAAGCTTTCCATACGGGCCTGTCCGAATCTCGTCTGAAATAGAGATATTAGAATGAATTTAGAATATACGCGACAAACTTGTTTTTGCCGGCAACAAGGCAGGTACCATGGATACAGAAGGCAAACATGTGCAAGATAGACTTTAGTGATGCACTGCGGCCAGTTGTTGTCTAACCGCTCTGATTCAGTTAACTGAGCCAGAGGGCCGATCCGAGTATTCTAGTAATGAAAATGTCAGTTCCAGTTTCGGGGCAGGCGATGACGTCCGCCGTTCAAGGCAGTACTGGCCGACAGGATAAGCATCAGCCTCAAAAACTAAACTTGGGTTAATTGTACAGCCCTGGCTGGCATATGCGAGTAAATGAACGCCTCTCAATAAATTACTGTCATAAAATCTTTTACAAAAAAGAAGCCCGTATCTGCGTTAGCTTATGTTGATGTTTCAGGAGAAACAAATTCTGTACATATTCAAACGCGCGTAAAGACGTTGATGGGGAAAAATTACTCACCTACGACTGTTGGCTCAAGATCTATGAAGACCGATCGTGGGACGAATTTGCCGTTGCCCGTTTCATGAAAAAACGTCGATAGAGAATCGTTCTCGGTCTGGGTCTCCTGAAGCCGCCCCTCGTGATCGAGTCCATGTTCTAGGCAGTACAGTTCCCAACACGCATTGCCAATCTGCAGTCCAGCCTGGCCGATATGAATACTCAAGCACTCCCGCTATACAAATCAAAATGATGATTAAGACAACAAACCATCGTCTGAAGGAGTTAATTCGAAACTAAACACACCGGCAGCTGACTGAATTATCTATGCGAATAAACAAAAACCAAATTATAGGGACTTGTGTTAAGCAAATCTTCTCAGATTTGTGGTGATACCCGGTTCATTTAGTCCTTTTCTTCACTGCCCGACGAGTTCCTGAAAATTTGATCGATCACTGATAGGATACCCTTGGCAAGAAAACGGGCAAGAAAAATTCGTAACATTTGAGAATTACTGCCAATGATTACGACGTGCTTCTGATGGACTTCACTTTTACGTCCACACTACTAAAATTACTCGAGTAAGACCGAAATCGACTGCCGTAATCATTCGACCATCAAATGTCGTTATTATTAACAATGCAGGGCCTCATGCAAGCAACGTTTTCAGGCGCAGTAGTGTTGGAATAACAAAGGTATATCATGCCATATCTAAACTAATAAACATAAGGTTTCATAAACTAACCCTTCGCATTGGGAAGTTAAGATGGGGGACTACATATTTAAACTCTAAATTAATACGCGTGACAGGACTGTTGACACTGCGAGTCTGAAAATTCGTTTCCCTGGTGAATACAAAATCAAAGAATTAACCCAATATTTTTTGACTTCCTCGTCGTTTTCGACTAACTCTGCGCCATGTTAACCAGTGATACTGCGCTCGATCCTTATTTTTTGTTGGATAACTCGAGATTCATCGCCGTTACCTGCCTGACGGGTCTGTGTTTTAACAGAACAATTCCTTGACTGGAGAGTGACCATACCACGCCAGAACGTGAGTACTTGCTCTACTCTCGGTGCTAGCAGAGTATGGAGGGACAGAGAGATATAAAGAAGACAGGTCTAAACATGATGAAGAAGGACTTGTTGTCTATGAGCTAAGATCTTCTGCACACGGGAATTCGGGGGTTGACTGGACATTGCTGCTGGACACCTGCCATGCGAACTCCATCTGCTTAAGCGTAGTAAATCGATATCAGTTTTTTCAACAAACATTTGCGGTGTCCTTAGAATATAAGTAAACATCGGCATAAATAAAAGTTTGCGAATTTCTGATTTCAGTCGAAATATCATTGATGTAAAGAAGGAGGAGTAGCGGACCTAGAACCGTGCCTTCATATACGCCTTTCGTGATCGAGTGGGGTATCGAGTAGCTATCACAAACTATGACTCTCGCAAATCGGTTTGATAGATAGAACCTGATTAGGTCAAGTAGAGGCGGCTGGATGCCGAGAGCTTCCAATTTTACCAAAAGACATCTATGGGAACCCTGTAGAAGGCTTTGCTAATATAAAAGTAAGTAACTACTACTGACTGCTGTCCATTACGAATAGAAGTAACTAGATTAAGAAATGACGAGTGGCGAGTTTTACCGGATCTTTTGGGTAAAAATGCATACTGATTAGAGCTCAGAAGCTGGTTAGCTAGACAGAAGTCAAGAATTCATTGAAAATTATCTTTTAAAAAAGTTTTACTAGAGACGGTGTTTTGTGCATGTCCCGATAGTTATTAACATGGGGCCGAGATGCAGACTTGAAGACAGGAATGATAGTTGACGTCTTCCATGTTTCAGGGAGAAATCCTTTTGAAATATAAACCTAGAATAAATGAGTGAACAATATGGAAGATCGGATGCCTGTTTAATAATCGGATTCGGAGTTTTGTCCGTTCCCGAGCAGTGTGAGTTTTTCAAACCTTATTTTCAGAGCCTTTATTTCAACCCTTTCTCCCCTATTCTGTCCTCCTCTTCAGTTCTGTCCAGAGCTACCCATTTTGTGCCTTTCTGTCGGTTCGTAACCCGGCTGTAAAAAACACCTCCTTATGCGACTTACGAAGAGCCGTCCTCACTTCTAGGAGAAATGAATCCTGGGTTTCATTTTCAGGAATGACTTTGAGAGGCCTTGTTGATGACAGTTAACGCAACGCGTCTGCGTTTCCTTGGTTGGAAGCTTTGCGCACGGTAATACATTATCCGTCCTAAAGAACGGCATCTGACTATGCTTAAAAGAGGTTGAGATCATGTTCGACCTGTTCTGTTACAATCCAAGAAGTGGACTCAGGAGCTCCCTTTATGACGATATTTCTTTTTCGGTCAGGATGCCTGTTTGTTGACTCAGGCATTTGCTTTATGACGGTGCCTTTGCTGCGATCAGATAGAGAGCTCTGTAATTTATTTTTATGCACGGAGTCGACATTGCGCCAATTTCCGCCGCCATCATCATCTGATTCAGAGGCAGCTGTCATGACATAGCTAATGCGGGGTTCCTCACCTGTCGCGGCATCCTGGTCATGCCATACATCCTTCGGCAGCGCGATATTTGCTTGAATTGTGTGTAGATTCCGCTCTCTCACAGTAACGCTCTGGCCTACTTTGCCTTTTCGGGATGCCCCGGGGCGCTTCTGCATTTTCTGAGATCCGTTTCCCAACGAAAGTCCTGTTGACGTTCGAATCTTCCTCAGATTCCAACGCTTAACCCTGCTAGTCGCCCTTACGCTCTTCGTAGTTATTCCTTGGTCGTGTATCTCATTGCTTCCTCTATCTCTAAGCTCTCTCTATTCCTACGTCTAGCTTTACTTTCCCTTGGAATAGTCTTGAAAATAACCTTGACTTAATAGCAAACTTATCGGAGGGGCAGGGAATATCGTCAGGGTGGTGGCATAGTTCTGTATGCGGAGGAAGACCCGTCCGTGTCGGAAAATACCACTAATTTTGCGCACAACGTGGAAGTTATTTGGCTGTCAATCAAGGCAACTGGTTCCCCGTGTCTCGATGTCCTCACTGTCTACCGACCACCTAAGGCAGACCAAATTGCCGACGCTCATATTTTGGAGCAGTTGGAGAAGTTTTTCAGGCGATCTAACATCACGATCATGGGTGACTTCAACGCACCAGGAATTAACTGGGAAACCCTCTGGGTGTCAGGTCCAAAATCGACATTTGATTGTCGTTTGCTGAATTAATTTTTATAGGCGCTCGTCACACAACATTTAGTGTTTCCAACGCAAACGCGTGAAGGACAGAGGGCCAGCTGCCTGTAATTAATTTTCACGAACGCACCAGGCAGCATAGATGGGGTCATCTCCATGCCGCCCCTTGGCCGAAGTGCCCATGTAGTACTTATATGGGATAATTCGTTATTCTCCATTTTGCATAATCTAGACCAAAAGACACAAAATTTGGCGGGGTGACTTCAATCCGATGAGGGCAGACTTATCCGGTCTGGACTGCAGTTCAATGTTTACGGATAATGCCAACGATGACTGGGAGTTGTCCAAGAATGTCCTTCTGCAGCTCATCAACAAACACTACCCACTGACGAGTGTAAGACAGAACGAGCGGTCTGGTTGGCTAAATAGCAGCCTAAACAAAGAAATTAACAGAAAGCACAAATTGTGGACAGAATGTTGCGTCACTGGGCACGTTGAGTGGTTCAGCACCCACAAAGCACAAAGAAGCAGACCGGGAAGCATAATTGTAAAAACGCGCAGGGAATTTGAGATGAATTCGCAACGCAAAGCAACACAGGCTTAACTTGAGCGACGAGTCTTCGGACGGTGTCACTTACTACCTCTTCAGTACGATCCCGATACGTTTGAATGAGATCACCTCGATTTTCTCGGATGAGTTTAGTTACAACATGCTTGGATTCACTGGTCAATGTTATCAGGCTCCTCATAATATTAGCTACCGCACTCTGGACCCTTTTACATAATTAGTTTTCCTATCATAGCTAAGGGCGTGTTGTTATTATTTCGCACTACATCTGCAAGTGAAAAAACCGGAATGCTGTCCCCCTAAGTACATATTTACAAGGGATAAAGGAGTAAAATATGTGAAGAATCATTTAAATGATTGAGAACAGCATCTTTTGAAGCGTTGGCAAGCCCCCAATACACCTGTAAGGAAACGAACTAAACTATAAAGCGAGTGAACACAGAAACGTCCCCTTGAGCTAGAATTTAATGAAATTGTTTTGACAAAAGTCTGATCGACATATAAGTGCAAAACAGTGAAGTGGTGATTGAAACTATCAGATATTGACTGCTGACAGATACGTCTAAGTACAGAGCCCATTTAATTATCTAGAAGAAGAAAAAGAAGAAGAAGAAGAAGAAGAAGAAGAAGAAGAAGACAAAGAAGAAGAAGAAAAAAACGAAGACGGGTGGGTAATTCCTGAAACCAGTGGTTTATTCGTCCGATGTTTCGAACAATTATGCGAGTTCATTGTCAAGGAATAAACAAACTGTGCAGCCATCCGCGTATTTAGCTTACATCTCTTAAACTGCGCTGTTGAGTTGTTCGCGAGGCGCCTGCTAAGCGGATGGTAGATAGATATGCTTATTGGTCAAATCCTCGGTCAAGTGCCACACTACCTATAGCGAGAGAGAAATTCGATCACCCGACTGACACGGGACTCTCACGCACTCGAAGCCAAAGTTGTGCCCTGAAGAGGACGAGTGTCCAATTACAGAGAAAGGCTTGTCTTTCCGTCTCACAGAGAGCTGGTGTTCGTACACTCTCATGCGAACCTCCTTGCCGGTTTCACCAACACATTTGGTTTGACCATAATTGCATCCTACCCGATAAATCACATCAGATTTCTGATGGTTGGATATTGGGTAGTAGGATGCCTGAGTCGTGGTTCATCGTCGCTTCCGGTCCGTAAGCTATATCTTGCAGTAGAAATCAAAAAAAACCTTTCTAGGAGGAAATTATAACGAAATTATAATGAAAAATCTATACAAGGCACGCATTTGATGTCCTAAAACAGTGGTTGAGGCCATTCTTCTATTCAAAAGGAGCTATTTACCTAAAGATATAGATAGTTTCTAAACTCTCAGACTTTAGAACATAATCGGAGACGCGACTGTCACATAAAGTCATCGATTACAAAATATCACTAACAAAATACCATTTATTTAGGAGAAACAGAAAAGACCGCTAAGGTGGTGGAGTAGTCATACATTTGGAGAACACCTTAACCGTTTTGGAG